CTTCCTGCTCTGCCGTCACCACCCGGCCACCCTGCTCTGCCTGCACCACCATGGCTGCCTGTTCTGCCTGCTCCACCATGGCTCCCTCTTCTGCCTGCTCCACCATGGCTCCCTCTTCTGCCTGCTCCACCATGGCTCCCTGTTCTGCCTGCTCCGCCATGTCCCTATGCTCCTCTGGATCTGACCTGGTGGTCTCTGCTCCATTGTCTGTCATTGCCCCATGATCCTGGTCCACCACTGCTCCTAGCTCCAGGCCCGCCATTGCTCCACACTCCAGGTCCTGTTCCTTTTCACGGGCCTGGCCCTCCATCCCTGCCCCAGTTCCTCCTCCACTCCACCACCCTCCTGGACTTTTTGGATTTTGTTTGGGCATCTGGAGCCGCCCTTAGAGGGGGGGAAATGTAATGTGGTACAACTCTTCTTATTTGGTACGTTTCCCATTGGTTTGTTCTTGTCATGTGACCCTTTGTTTGCTATAAGTAGCTATCATGTTGCAATTGTCTCTCGTTGTGTATTGATGTTGTAACCCGCTGTCGGTGACTCTAGTCTGTTCATGCCACGTCAAGTCTGTTCTAGTCAAGTCTGTTCTAGTCAAGTCTGTTCTAGTCAAGTCTGTTCTAGTCAAGTCTGTTCATGCCTCGTCAAGTCTGTTTTAGTCAAGTCTGTTCATGCCTCGTCAAGTCTGTTCTAGTCAAGTCTGTTCATGTCAAGCCTGCTCATGTCAAGCCTGCTCATGTCAAGCCTGCTCATGTCAAGCCTGCTCATGTCAAGCCTGTTCATGTCAAGCCTGTTCATGTCAAGCCAAGTCTCGGATTATTGTTTGGATCACCTTTGTAAATAAACTGCACTTGGGTTCTCACTACGCTCGCCTTCAGTGGACTGATTCGTTACAGACAGCCATCTCTGCACCTTATACAGCACCTCCAAGAAAAATGTTCTACACCAATGATCGCTTATTAAAAGCGCCTCCCTCTGCGAAAAATCTCACATTAAAAATACCATCAGGTGAGGCCGATTTTCATTAGAAATAGGGTCATTTGAGGTGAAGCAAACCGTCCCCATGCAATCACCTTCGGTTCTCTGAGGGAGTGATATCTCTCTCTAGATTACAGTGGCTGCAGGTACTGAATTCCTAAATAACAGCCCTCTCACCTTACTCCAGTGCCCTGCCCTCTAACAAAAAAGGTCAGAAAAAACCATTATCAGGCCTTTCTTCCCCTACTATTATCAGGGAGGGTGGGAGAAGAGGGTTTGTGTGAAACAGATGTGACCGTTGACCCCCATGGCCTTTTTCAGCAAGCCCAGACAAAGACTATCATGCCCAGACAGCGGAACTTTCTTATTAAAGGTGTTCAATCAGTGTTTTTGACTGAATATTTAAAGTGAACAAATCATTCTCTACTTATTTTTACTTAAAGCACGTGACTGTTTTTCTGCATTCAAAGACTGACTTTGTGTCTGAATGAGATTTTGAGCAATAAAAATGACACATAATTAAAAGGGCATGCGGACGTTATTGAAACTCTTTATTCATTTTGGCTATTAATATTGTATTTTTTCTCTAGCTTGATAAAATCATGCACAAAAAGTTGGAGATCTGCTTTGTTGTCATTTGTGGAGAAAACAATGACTCAAAAGAGTCAGCTTGTTCCAGTTGTCAACAAATAATGACTCAAAACACACATGAGATGCTCATTTGTGTTGGAGTCGATGGCCTTGTGGGCAGCACACCAACATGTGGCGCAGCTGCGGTTCGGGCGACCTGAGTTTGAGTCTCGGATCGCAGTCCTTTCCAGATCCCACCCCCTCTCTCACCCACTTCACTTTCTTTCCTCTCTGCAATCATACTATCGAAATAAAGGCAAAAAAAAGATTATTAGTTGTTGCCTGATTTGTGTAACAATGAACCTGAAGAAACAGTCATTGAACAAATGTGTGATCAAATCTTTCTGGTGAATGGTCTCCTATGTTTTTTGGAACCGATGCCCTCGTTGGCAACGCTCTGACATGTGGCACGGTTGCGCTTCGGGAAACTCGAGTTTGAGTCCTGGCTCAAGATCCTTTCCTGATCCCACCTTCCTCTCTCTCCCACTTCATTTCCTGTTCTCTCTCCAACTGTAAATTCTTATGTCTCTAATGTTTACCAAGGCTGCATTTATTTAAACAAAAATGCAGTCAAAACAATAATATTTTGAAATATTCTTACAACTTAAACTGTTTTCTATTTTAATATATTTTATTTATTCATGTGATGGCAATTTCAGCAGTCATTACGTCAGTCTTCAGTGTCACGATTCGCTATGGGAGGAACGATGGAGACGCGGAGAAACAATCTTTAATACTTGACTCACAGGGGTAAATCCACAACAGGAACATGGTAAACACACAACATCCAACAAGTAGACCCGACCAAACCAAACTGAACAGACTGGGGCTTATAAACACAGGGCAATCAGGGGAACACAGGCGCATGGAATCATAAAGTAATCCAACTAAACAAGAACAGGAAACAGACCATAAAAGGAAACACAGGAAGAACTACGGAGGCAAAACAGGTCCAAAAGTCTGACATTCAGTGTCACATGATCCAATATTCTAATTTGCTGAATTTAGTGCTCAAGAAACATTTCTTGTTATTAAGGTTTAGTGCTTATTATTTTTATATAATTTTTTTTTTTATCCTTTTTATTAATAAAAATCAATTTAATGCATCATTGCTGAATATGAAGTATTAATATCTCTCTAAAAAATAATTTTAAAAAAATTGTGTCGTACTGAAAAAAAAGTATTCATGGCTCATGAATATAAATTAGCAGCAACTGATTTTCTGAAAAGCCAGGAAATGTGCATTAGCCATAAATCAGAATTACTGCTTGCCATTTGAGTGTTTGTTTGTTCATTTGACTGCAAAATTGTAATTTACACAGCCGGCTGCAATATTTTTTTATTCGCCTCATATATACCCACAGATGTTGAGCATGAATCACAATTACAGACATCCAGTAAAGAAGTGTTTGGTCAGAAGATAAAAAGCAACAGCTTTGTGTTTATGCCACCTTTCAATTTGCTTCTGGAAACGCTCATTTGTGAATAAGAGGATTGGGAAGAGATATAAAAATGTGACCTTTTTGTTGAGCTCAAAGTGCCATTTCACATCCCTCAGTGATGGCACGGATCCTCAGACAGCCATTTACTTCCATTCTGTCCGCTTGGACACATTCCCAGGGATGGCACATCAAAGAAGAGTCTGATTTTGTGATAGCCCACCATCCCATTCCACCAGCGTTCACACACACACACATACACACACACACACGGGCAGCAAGACATCATCTATCTGTCTGAATATGCCTTGTGCCAGCGATAACCCTCTTGTGGCAATTCCCATCATCAAGTTCTTGCTTTGAAATATTATCTCATTGTTATTCTGCGCTAATGAGATCTTAAGCAGAGAATCAAATTAGTGCTCGGTCATAATCAAAGCGTGCAGTCATTCTTAACAGAACTGAACAGAATCTGAGCTCAGCCACCCACTTGGAGTCCGTGTGCCAAGTCCTGCCAACTTTGACAGTAGTCTGAAGAGGAAAACAGGACAGCTAAGATCTGTGTGCGCCGTACCAATTTCAAACCTCTGCCATTTGGCAGGCGCACAGAGGTGTCCTAAATTAAAGACTGCGAACAACAGATGCGAGACCACGTAACACAAAAGCTGCCGTCCTACAGAGGGATCCAAGTTAAATGCTTCACTCAAGAGCACATTTCAGCCTCCAAGCAGCCTGGGCTGTTTTTACACCCACTAAACATCAATGTTTGTGGCTAAACAAAGCCGAATCTCTCCTTTGAGCCGAGCAAAAAAGCCAACTGAGAAAGGCTGGAGATGCATCTCTTTCACAGTCAACCATGAGCTCAGTAACCTTACCCTTGCATTTAACCTCCTCGGTTTCATCTGTACTTTGCAACATTGCATTTTGGGTCAAAAATCCAGTATATATTCCTTTGTGTACATACCCTCAGAATTGTAACAAACTGCTGTGATATTGGACTGGGCTGTGATACTAAGATCTGGCCTTGAGAGACATCAGCAGAAACCTTCAGACAGGAACATCATCTTTGACTTTGACTTCCTGAACATGCTCATTTTGTCAAGTATGCCAGGGACATAAAAACCAGCAGAGATGGGATCTACAGAGAGATGCCCCCTGCAACTTCAGCCAGTTTCAGTTCTTATACATCACTGACAGTGCTGAAATATCTTGACAGGAGGGCAGCTCTCACTGGAAAAACAGCAATAATAAGTCTCAGAAGAACGTATGGAGAAATTCAGATAGCTTATAATGTAGATAAAAGCAAAAAGTGACATTGAAAAGGAAGACCCACAAGAGAAGAGCCCACAGAAAAGAAAAACCACGAGAGAGATGTTTTTAATATCTCAGTTGTCTCTGAAATGAGTGAATGGAGATTTTCATGTGTTGAATGAGTTTTCTCTTGAGAAAAAGTCTTGTATGTTTTCTCAAGAGTTTCAACAACAAATAGGTGTTCACATCGTATGTTCAAATATCTCAAGATACCAAAGTTTGCCATTAAACATTTGAGATTTTCAAATGAACTCACGCATTTCCTAAAAAATTCTCTCAAGACGTGAGAAATTGATCTGAGCTAACTGCTTACGTCCCACTGGCAGTTAGGTTTAGGTTTAGTTTTTTTTTACTGAAAATAATATATTTCCATACATATCAAATCATCTGAATTCAAACAAAATTACCAATTTATAAAATACTTATGTTTTCTAATGCAAACGGATTGTTGATTAATGTGTAAAATAATATACATGTTTATTTGTGTAAAATAATATACATGTTTATTTCTTCTAAAGACTTTTAACATCTGAAACACAGTTGATACTTACAAGAAAAATCCTCAGAACTCCATTAAGGCTCCTGAGCTATAAAAGAGCAAAGTCTGATCAAAAAAAATCTGGGGAGGTTAAACTTTGGCTTTACCTCCTGAGATCTCATTGCCCTCTTCCACAGGTCCTGGTTCTTTCAGTCTTTGAGGCTGAGTGGTGTCTCCATCACTGCTCTGGTCTTCTGCTGAAGAGACATGAGGAATTAAAAGGAATTCAAGTCCAAAATACTGAGCCATGGATGTATTAATATGTATAACATAATTTGTATACCATAAACTAAATATACAGTTAGGATCATCTCATATTTGTTAGTATCAATATATGAATAACAATATTTAAACTTAATCTTAAATATGTAAGCCCTATATATTTTGTATACACAGTTTTACTATGTAAAATACTATGTTATTTTCAAGGCACAATTTTTTTTTTTTTGTTTACAAGCTTGCGATTCGATTCGATTCAATATCGATTATTTTGGATATATATCAGGTAGGCCTACAGTAGGCTACATGCCAAATTTTCTTAAGGAAAAAAAATCTCAACTAATGCTGTAAAATATACATGAGAGTCAGTTGGTACTAACGTTAGCTACATTACTATAATATTTAAGGTTAAAACTGACTGATTTGTAGGCTACACAACTGCTAAAATTACACTTAATGAAGTTTTATAAAATAATAAATTTACAATGACATAATATTTTTACTTCAATTCGTTTTTTTTAAATAGGCTATAAGCATTTAAATGGTGGCTGTCAAAAAACTTGATGGATTTATTCAAACATAAATTAAACACTGAAGAACAGTAAAAATTATAATGAATATGTTATATGGTGCATATATTTAGCAACATGCCCCTCTCTACAGTTTATTTTTCTTGCTGACTAATGAGTTCTTGGTCACGAATATGTTTTTTTTTTCTGAGGTAAATGTGACGTTACGTGACATTGTTTACAAGCCGTTTTATTTTGACGTGTTTGCACGGCTGAAACACTGATTGAGCAATTACTTGAGACAGGATACGGATTGTAAAGTTGTACTCTGCAATACAATGGATAGAATTTGAAATCTGAGAATTTGTTTCATAGTAAAAGTACCAAAGCACAATGCTTATTGCAATATATTAGATGGTAGGTGCCCTTCAATGTTCCGTCCATTAACTGAACACAGGCTAGACTAACTGATTCTTGGGATTTAAGAATCGATATCGTTCCATAAAAATGAGAATCGATTAAAATAGAGATATCGATATTTTTTACCCAGCCCTAGTCTCATATGCCTGTTTCTACTCAGAAACCTATCAAAGCCTGTTCTTTATTGTCTGACTGCCAAAGCCAAGCATTTCCTTTAGATGCAATGTCAGAAGAGAATAATGCTCTTAATGATAATGATATTAATAAATACAATTATGAAAAATAATGATTAAATTAATCACTTCATAAATTCATATATATATATATATATATATATATCTAATCAAATGCAACTTTTGAATTGAAATTTAGGAATAAATTCAAATTTAAATTAGGAATAAAAAATCAAATGCAGCTGAAAATTCATTGATTGCTCTCACGTGTCAACTGTTTAATTGCATATTTTTAACTTGACATGAAAAAAGAAAAGTATTTTGCAAAACGATAATGAAATGCACTTTTGATTACCTTTAACAATGCCATTTAAATGATTAGCAATTCATTAATTATTATTATTACAACCACAGTTTTAATATGAATTAAGTACACATCTATTTGACAACTTGAAAAATGTATTTATTTAATGTTTTATTTTTTAATTAAAACATTGATAGTTAATTGATTTCATGTTCTTTTAAATGGGCAGTCATAGTCCTCCATAAGTTACTAAGCCAAATCTTTAACCTCTTGGCTACACCACTATTTCTATTATTCATACAAAGTTCATGTTTTGCCATGTAATTCTGCAAAGGACAGAAAGACAGTTCTCTGTGTGAACTTCCTTTAACAAACTGAAAGCCTCTGTTCTGAGAATTTGCTTGGTGAATACTCTTGTCTGGTTGACAAAGTGGTCCATAGATAGATGGTCCATTAACGATTTCAAAAACACTCGCACTTGTTCATGAATTAAGTATAATGAGCATGTTCATGATTACAGAAAAGACAGACACAGGCTTTTGGGCATCCCATTATCCGTCCCTTCAGACATCTAAAAGAACAGACTTCCAAACTGATCCAAGTTCTCTAATGCAAAAGCAAACACATAATGTCCAAAATAGCCTAATAAACAATCTGTCCAAAGTAGCTTTGCTCTGAGCCAGAGGAGGAATAGTACCGGCCTGACAAGTTGTGATGCCAAGTTATCATCCAAATACAATCTGTGGGTGGATGCTTTATGGCCACTGCACAGCAAACAACTTCATGAAGTTTGTTTGCAGTACTGACAGTGACAAATGGTCTGTTCTAAACAGGTCTTGGCCACAAACTCATCTCTCTTGCTTCATGATGTCCCTGCCTGGTGACAAAGTCTGGGATGACTTCAAAGAAATGGTTGCTTTTGGTAATTTTGTGAACTGAGAAGGAAAGACAATTTTCACTAAAGGGATACTCCAACCAAAAATGAAAATTCTCTCATCATTTGCTCACCCTCATGCTCAGATGTATCTGACTTTCTTTCTTCAAATAAGCACAAGCAGAGAATTTTAGAAAAATAAACAATCTCTGTGAGTCCATAAAGTGCAAGTGGATGGAACCCTCAAAGCTGACGCTTAAAAAAACACAAAAAACAAACATGGCTGTAATTCATACGACCCCAGCTGATGAATAAATGTTTTCTGAAGCAAAATGGTAGGTGTGTGTGAGAAAATCACTAATATTTTTGACTTTTTAAACTATAAACTATTGCTTCCAGCTATCAGACTCAGATCAGACTTGACTTAAACATCAGCACGTTGTGAAGCGTATCGTGAGAGTGTTGTGAAACTCATTACCGTACATCAAACGTGAACTCATGAATGAGCATGTGACAACTGGCCGGAAGTGATGGTAGCTAAAAAGTGAATCAGTGTCTGTTAAAAAAAAAGTCAATCAATCATTTCACTTCAGAAGACATTCGCTGCGTCCCAATTCACCAACTTATACTATGCCCTAAAAGTATGTACTCTTTTATGTAGCAGAATAGTAGGCAAGCTTTGGGACATACTACTTAGTCATAATTGACTCTTCCTGGAGTTTGATTGACAGGCGATCTGACCAATCAAAATGCAGAATCTGCCGTTTTGTCTGACAATCAAACCAGACAGCAGTAGATTAACGTCGGTCTTGAACTTAAAAAATGGTGTGTATAGATGTCTTTCTGTGGTTGAAACAAGATAATCTTCTGATGTTCATTCATGTTTATTTCGAGTGATAACTAGTAAAGAGAAAGAGATGATCGATTCACGTGCCGCTTGAACTGAGGTGCTACAGCAATCTGTCATGAGTCACATTAAAGAGCCACAAAATGGTATTTATTGTTTGAATTTCTGAAAAGCTGAGATTTTGTTTCATACCAAAAGTAACCTGCTGTCTTGTCTGTCGGCATGTTGTCAGTTTCCTCTTTGCTCCACAATGTATTGTTTACTGCGTGAGAATATGATGTGTGGCGTGAGAGTGCCATGGCTTGTCAGACGTAGCAATAGTAACGAAAGGGGGCGGGGCTTTGAGAAGGGTCATTTTCGTCTTTAACGGACCGCTCTGTTGCTTAGTTACATGCATCTTGTCACAGTTTAAACTGCCCTGTCAATCATCTTGTCACAATTAACATAATTCACATTTTGTTTTATTTAATTTCCTACCATATTGGAAAGAAATGAAATGTGTGTGCGTGTCTTTAATCTCGACAATTCTCCTCATGTGTTTGCATAATAATGCTTTTAAAAGTTAATGACCAAAACATATCTTTATAAAAGTTCACAATGTTGTTACAGATAAAATATAACGTGGATAACATTAAATAAATATTTTTTCATCAGGTTAGATATTGATTATTTATCACTCAAACCCCTTTCTCTCCCTGTCCGTCGATCTCGCATATATCGTTTTTGAAGCATCAGCTTTGAAGATTCTATCCATTTGCATTATATAGACTCACAGAGACGGATTATTTTTCTAAAAATCTCTATCTGTGTTCCACAGAAGAAAGTCATATATATCTGTGACGGCATAAGAGTGAGTAAATGATGAGAGAACTTTCATTTTTGGGTGGAGTATCCATTTAAAGCACTTGCCAATTTAAAATAGACAAAAAAAAAGCATTGTGATGAAATAAAAAGGGCAGCCAAAATTTATTGCGTTTGAATCAGTCATGCCTGAACAGCGGCATACTCATATTGCAGTCCCTCAGTGTGATGAAGAAGCCTGCCCCTGCAATTCAGATCCCTGACCAATGATCCTGATTAAAATCCTCGTGGCTTGCCGAGAGATCAATTGAAGGGGAGTGGAAGTTGCTTATTCAGCAGCAGTGGGAGCATGATTGGGGTTAGACTCAGAGCAGAAGGAGTCAGAACTGGAGAACCACAGTTTGCTGATGACTTTGCATATCACGCTTCATAGAAAAGATTGCTGCAGACAGCAAACTGTCACCGGTTCTTACGACAACATCAAAGCTCTCCAATTCTCATTTGTTTAAATGAGACCAAAGGACAGAATCACTTTGTCGCAAGCGAATATCTCCCTTCCCACTTTGGTTTTTAAAAGTGGAGCAAAGGCCTATAGTTGCATCTAAAAATAGACGTGAAATCAATTTGTGCTCCCCAATGCAAAATATGATAACTTATTCTGTTTTCATATTTGACCACTCCTATTGCTGAACATATACAACAAACAGAAAAACTCAGGCGTGTTTATTTTGTTTGTGCTCAGGGGAAAAACATGTAACTTCTAAAGCAAGGAAAGTACCGTAGATGCCGTGAGCCAGAATATACCTTTTCAAGAGTGATTAAGCACCTTGAAAAATGTCTCTCTCCTACCCTTCAACATCTCACATCTCTCTCTCTCTCACTCTCTCTCTCATTTTCTTGTGGCTAAGAGCACTTTGTGTGAATCTGAATGTGGTTTTGTGTGATATCATCATCTCACTAGGGTCAGCCTTTCCTGCACAAGAAGAAGCTGAGACGTCCGATTCATTCAAAAATTACTTTTGAATGGTTATTTTGATGAGTCAATTAAAAAGATTCATGTAACACAACCTCATTAGTTTGCTCTTTGAATCAGACTCACTCAGTAAGTGAAGCTGTAACTTTTTTTTTTTTTTACGTCATTGTGCTGTTATGTGCTGAACGTCTCGGTTACGTATGATAACCCTCGTTCCCTGAAGGGGGGAACGGAGACGTCACGTCGGATGACCGACGAAATTGGGATCTCGCTTAGAGAGACCAATCTACTTCGAGTGTAAACTAAACGAGCCAATGCACATTGGCATGCGATTATTGCATCCAGCTGCCGGATAAATATATATATATATATATATATATATACACACTTTTAGTTTGTAAACTTATTCTATTTTCAGACTGGTTGGTACTACTATATGGCCATATGTAAATAGCAACATTTTCTCAGAGTTTTGTTGTATAAATTAATACAAATAATTCAACTAAAATAAATTAAGCAAATATTGGTTATTGTTTAACATTGTTAACTTTGTTTGGGAAGCATAATTAACACAACATTTTCTCCAAACAAATAGAAATATTCTTACAAGACCACAGAGTGATACTTAACTGAGGCAAATACAATTGTTAACTAGAATTACAGCATCAAGTTGGAACAAATTAACACCAAGTACAACTAAATCATCCAAGTTCATATAACTTACTTTCAGTCGCTGTCCATAAGGGAATTAATTTTTCAGAGAGGACGATATGTAAATTAATATTGATCAAACCTATAAAAGACTGCAGCAGGTTCAAAGGCGCGATGATTAATGACACAATATAATCTCCCTTATCAATAACACAACAATTGCTAATATAGTAAATCAATGGAACAAATCTTGCAGCACCGTATACAGACTATGATCATTTTAAACATTTACACATGGATGCACAGCTCTATTCCATCTACGCACTCAATGTTTAGAGAAACTCCATCCTCCATTTCTTTATTTTAGTATAGCTATACATAGCCTGTCATTAAGCCTCACTTATTTTGAGATCCTTCATTAATTTAATCAATAATTTTGTTAAATTTGATTTGTTTCTCTTTACTTGTTATCTTAAATACTAGCAGGTTTGATGATGCAGTAAGATGATACTGAAAGCTGATTAGCTTGAACCTCTGACAGTTATTAGTTGTACAGTATATGCAAAAAAGGCAAATTTCATTTAGCTGTTTTCGGTTCCATTTTGGATGGAAGCAAACAATCTTGCGTCATTTGAATATTCATTCTGATCAGTCATTTTAGTAACGAGAGGTGATTTTAGGCTGTCAGCCTCTTCAAACATCTAGTCTCCTGGATAAAAGAAAAACATATTTTTTAAATATTTAAATTGGACATTAATGCATTTATTAATGCAGTACATAAACTGAATAAAACAAAAGTTAACTTTATCAGCATCATTATGGTCATTTTAAATACATTTTTGGAAATTTTCAACTACAACAGTCATTTGTTGTTATACACTCTAAAAAATGCTGGGTTGTTTCAACCCAACTTTGGGTCAAATATGGACTAACCCAACCGAATGTAAATTATTACATTCAATTTTTAACCCAAAAGATGGGTTAGTCCAAATTTGACCCAAAGTTGGGTTGAAATAACCCAGCATTTTTTAGTGTGTATGTTTAATTTCAGGAGCTTTGCCATTTTTTGGTTTGCAGCCCTTTTTAAGGATGCCAGTGTTGTTGTGAGATTTGGACCTTTGCCAAGCTGACATCAGATACCATAAATACAAGCAGCTGGATCAGACAGTAACCTCTATCTGACCTCCTAGAGTCTGACCAGGTACCGCAGCCAGACATTCCTCACCTCAATCACAAAAGAGTCGCATTGACCCGCTGTGATGCAAACTATCACCTGTCCTCATCCAACCCTGTTCCATCACTTCAATACCTCAATTCTGGCCAATAGAGAGATTTACAATGCCCATTAATGCCACTTTGCACATAGAAATGCAGCAAATGAGCTGCTATAATTGAAATGAGTGCTTTTCCCATCTGTTGGGAACGTCTGAACTGACTGATATCTATTCTATGGACCCAGACCTAAAATACACAGAGCTCGGGAATGTGCTGTAAGAAACAACGAGTTTGGACGTGGCTTATTGTTGCCCCAGAAAAGGGGGTTGTGAGTGTTTAACAAAGGGGTGAGTTTACAGAACTGATGGCCAGTGCACTTGGTCTACATAAAACCAGAGAGTGACCTTGGCTGTTTATGTGTTATCAGGAGCCGTATAAAAGCCCCAGACAAGGACTATTGTCAAATATGTAAAGAAACAAAGAGTCATTCTGATCTGGCAAGGTTAACAAATACATCTGCTGAAGCTCACAGAGAGAAGTCTGACACTACATCTGAATGCATTTAGAGAAAAAGTGAGGCTCAAAGGGAATAAAACAGAGACTGTATTTCATTAATAACAGATTAACAGAAGGCAAACTTGTATGCATACAATATAGTACCACTACATTTATTAATATTGTTTTTTAATTTATTAATAAAACACTGTTTCTTACCTGGTTCACTATTATATATAAATTTGTAACCATCATATTCTCCTTTTGGTTCCTTCCATGAGACAAGTAGCCTGCCTGCACTCAGAACTTTAAATCGAAGTCTTCTTGGAGCTGGAGCTGCAAGGAAAGAATGGAATTATAAACTGAACATTTGAAAATTATGATCAAATAAATCTTTAAAATATTTTTCAAATGAGAGTTTAAATTGTACTTGGATAAAAATCCAAGGAAAGGTATGTTTTAAGTCATATTCTCACTCTTTTGTTTATAGTATGTCCAATTTAAGGTTATAATAATCTGTAAGGTATTTAACATTAGGAAATGTAAGGTGATTTAATATTATTATTTAATTGTCCATCCGACATAATGCACATAAGATCATGAACAGAGAGTTACTGTCTCATTAAAAATGACAAAAATGACAAGGTAATTGAGAAGAGAATGTGACTTTTAAAGGTCAGAAGAGTTTCGGCTATTTTCTAAAGCATCCTAATTACCAGTGAGGTTCAAAAGGAAGACAAGCCTTAAACAGTTCGACAAAGCATATTACTTCAGTTTATGAGTATCTATAGCCATAAACAACTGATTAGGGGATGTCTTTCATCATTCAATCCTAAATATTTTTCTACAGATGTAAACAAATCCTTCTGACCCATAATCAGTTGTTGTGTGTTAGACCTATGAGAAACCACCACACCCAAACATCACATATCCCACGTAAGGTAACGAAACATTGATTAATCAATGTTTCTCTGTCCTTATGTTGTGCGCATGCCACAGTTCTGCCCAGAGAAAGAAACCGAGGTGCTATAAAGTATATATGAAGAAACCATGTTGGCACAAACAGAAAAGGAAAATATGTAAGAATAAAGCCCAGAGGTCAATACTATTAGAAACGGGCGTTTAGGAGACAGAGATAAGACATAAAACTGATCTAGGTGCACCAACCTGAGGAACGGAACACTGCTGGGGTTCCTGTGGGGTGAACATCTCCCTTCTCATGGACAGATTGGACACCCACACCACACTCTGTCCATTATGTGTCTTTGGGGAACTACGATTCATTTCCATCAATCAGTGTATATAGAAACCCGTTTCACTGCTTCTGTGTTTCAAACGTGGAAACTACCCAGCAGGAAACAAGGTTTCAAGTAATAGAGTTGAAAGATTAGGCTAAATGAATCTGTTACTCACTAAGGACTAGCTAGTTTGGGACCAGTTGTTTGTTACAGTGGTTAATGATCAACTTATATTTCCCATAAATTAAAGAAAAATCTTTGCTTGATCTTTTCTTAAAATAAATTGGGTAACAAGATTGAGTGGTTGAGCTTTACAGATATTACATAAAGTTTTGCAAATTAATTATATTATTTCCTTGTCTTTACATCATGCTATCAAAATGGTCCATAGCATGATGGAAATGTTTTTTTTTTTTGGTGTCACAATTTTACAGTTCATTCATTAATTCATTTAAGGATGTATAGATGGACCAGCTAAATTAAAATGACAAATCACTAATATTAATTACTAAATGAATGACCATTCAAACGTGTGGGGTCCATATTTTTTAAAGAAAATACGACTTTTATTCAGCAAAGATGCATTAAAATAAATAAATATTGTTCTTTTGAACTTTACATTTATCAAAGAATCTTGATCAAATGTATAACAGTTTACAAAGGAATGTTTATTAGCTATAATATGTTATAATATGATATTATTATATAACTGTTTTTCAACATTGATAGTAATACAAAATATTTATTGAGCATTTTAGAATGATTTCTGAAGAATCATGTGACACTTAAGACTGGAATAATGGCTGTAAATAATTTTTTTGTGATAGCATGAGTAAATAAAAAATATATTTTTTAAATTGTAATAATTTTTCACAATATTAATGTTTTTACAATATTTTTAATCAAATTGATGCAGCCTATAGACTTCTTTCAAACACATTTTTAAAAATCTAACGACCCCAACCTTTGGAATGATAATTTATTAAAAATAATAATTAAAATAGTTTCCTTCTACAATGAACTGCATATCAGTAATGTCCAAAATGACATTTTTGTATGATTGTAATTGTTGAATTAAAATCTAATCTAACTGAATCGAACTTATCTAATAATTATTATATGTAATAGTTCACAAAAAAAAATGGTACAGTATATGTACCTCTATAGCTTTAAAAAAGTTATGGAACACCAAAGTGTACTCTATTCATAGAAAGTGTCAGTGAAAATTCTTAGTCATTCATGTGAGTGGGATGAAATGAGCACTGATATAGATCCAGCCATCCAGAGAATTTGGAACATTTTTCACAACGGATCATCTGCGTATAAAGTAACCACGGATTTAGAGAGGAAAAGTATGTTGTTGTTCCAGCTCAGTACTGCACACCATGACGGAGATGAAAAATGTATGCGAAATACAACTCAGAAAGTAATTCCAACAATGTTGAGATGCTAAAACTCTGCTCACGAGCCATGAATAATGAAGAAGAACACAATACATTCATCAGCATGAAAAAGCAACAGATTTCTGGAATGACAGTTTCATAAAATAGTCCTTGGAAAACTGTCTTAGCACACCTAGGCATCCACGACTCCTGGCTTTTGGTGATTAAAGGTTTTGTGTCAAAAAGACTCCTGTAGAGATTGAGGGGGAGGTAAGGAACAACAACGGCCATGGTGGTTAAAGGGTGACAAGTGCTGACTTGTAACTTGAAACGAGAGAAATATAAGCAGGAGGTCCTGTGTCTGTATATTAGAACCGCGCACCCACAAATCCACAGGCCTTTGATGTGGATATCTTTCATCCTTTTGGAGACACTCACTCCAAAATCCACTGCGTCCTTTTATCACCGTGCTTCCAATTACTCACCTGTCAGAAGGCTCCGCACTTGTTTTGAACGTTTATTTTCCACAAACTCAAAATAAACCTTGCTGTTGAGGGAATTAAAATATTAATGCCTACTTAGCGGGAATAGTCAGAAACATTCTGCACTTTACAATAATCTAAGTCTGTTGGATGTGATGTGAATTTACATAGATCTGAGCAGCAGGAATTATGCAGGACCAAATGAAAATCCGGGAGACTTGGCTACATTTCCCATCTCACCAATGTGTAAAAATACATTATCTAGACAAAGTGCTCAGTTAAAGGTTTTGTAATGAGACGTGCTGCCTGTGTAAATCCAAACAACAATTAAGTTAAAACTGTGAATGTGAATTGTTTTGTGCATTTGACTGCTTGAGAGTCAGCTTGTTTAAGGTTGACCTTCAGTTCTTTTGTTTCATTTTTCCACAACTTCATCACACACACAATACAGACCCTTCCAAAACGCTTTCATAATGTCTCATCACACCGCTTTGTATCACTGACTGCTTCTACCCATTCATTCTCAGCAGAGCATTGTCAGCATTTGCAATCATTTTCGCTCCAACACATCAAGTACCCACAGTGCAATGTTTTCTAAATGTCGTCTGTGTCGTGTTAAAGGAATATGGCAGGTTCGAAAAGTTAAGTTAAGCTCAACTGATAACATTTGTGGTATAGTGTTTACAACAAAAAGTAATTTCAACTCATTACTTGTCTTTAAAAAAATGCAAAAATTAAAGTAGTGGCGAGGCACTCGGGCCAAAAATTTGAAGCTAATAATTTTATAAAAGCACTAATCTCACCCCAGGAAAAACGTGCCTGTGGCAACATTTCTGCAAAATGATATTATGTTGCTTTCTGCATGTTTTGCGGTACATTCAAAATTGAAATGTACAGTTAGTGGCACTAAAAGCACATTCAGTCCTCTCCGGAGGACTTTTTATGTTGGTTGTTGTACGTATCGCAGAAGTTTTGAAATTAACTTACCACCTAAACCAAACCTTACACTAAACCTAACCGATAATGTTTCCATGTCATTTTAGCTTGCTTCTACAAGTCTATTAACTCTTTTATTGAGTTCTGTGACTTAGGCCTATGTTTCACAGCACTCATATTTGAATGCGCCCCATTGCAATGCTGGACCAAGAGAGCTACCAAGTAAGTTTCCTACATCAGAAAAGCCATATATGAAGCTAGTTATGTGAAGAAAACATCAAAATGTATTAGTTTACAAATCATGCATAAACATAGTTTGAGAGAATGCGATTTAGGAATCAACAACTGAATATTTTAACATGTATTGCTTGGCCCCATTCATTTCTGTAGTAAGTGCCTCATTATAATCCAGATTTTTGCTTTTTTAAAAGCAGCAACAAGTCGAAATTCATTTTCATGGTAATCAACATTATGCCGCAAGTGCTGTCGATTCGTCTTAATTTGTATTAAACCAAGCATATTCCTTTAACTATAAGTCTTTGGTTTGTTTATTCCTGTTCAGCTTCACCACTGAGCTGTTTAAAATCCCACCAACAGTTTTTAGTGATTTGAGGAATGAAAAGATGTATAGATGGCATAAATTTAAAGACTACACATGCCCATCACACAAGTGCTGATCTGGGAAGAAGAGTGAAGGCAAAAAAGCCAGAGAGTAATCCGAACTTTGTCGTCCAAACAGAACCTTTAAGCTGCCCTGAGGGATATTATCATTGTGGTCCCCTGTGATGTTAGACTAAATGCTTTTCCACATCTCTATCCCATCTAAAATCCTCAAGACTCACATTAGCTCTTTTTACCTTCTTACTGAGAGGCATTACACTGAAATGAGTCCTCTTAGGAGATGTGAAGGTGCATGAAGGGTCAAATGTTTCTTTTTGCTCCAAGCACAATCAAATGTAACCCTGCCGTTGCCATCAGATGACTAAATTATGCATTGAATGATTAGGACATCATCTCATATTTTACACAGCCACACAAAAGCCAATAAACCAGAGCAAATACCAATTCAAAACCATGAAGACAGCAATTACCTTGAGCCGAAACAGGGGTAAGAAACTGAATCAGTGCCAGCGAGATAAGCGGACACCACAGCTTAATCCTCGATCCCGACACCCGCATCCTTATAGCCGTGTGAGTGATGCTTGCCCTGCACCTACAGAGGCAGAGAAGCAGAAAGTGAGGGGAGGAATTCACTGAAGCTGTGTAGCCTCAGGGGGATTTCAGAAACAGAGAGGGAGGGAAGAAAGTCTCTGCGGGTCAAGAACAGTAAAGACTTTGTTGAGTTTTGATGGACAGCCAGTGAGAAGTGCTTCCTGAGGACCATTGTTGTTCCTGAGACATGCAGGCCACTTCGGCTCCTGTCATTCATGTCTGATAAGAAGGCTGACCTGTGTTTAGAGAGGAAGCCGCCTGGGCTTGTTCAAGAGGGCACCCCCACTTAACTTAAACAGTGGTCTAAATTAGTGTCAAGAGATTATGCTGGTTAGCTGCAGACTACATGGTATGTAGTTCAATAAGTCAGTTTTTCCTCAGATGGCTTCTTCTCTCTCTCTCTCTCTCTCTCTCTCTCTCTCTCTCTCTCATTGTTGTTGTAGCTCTGGTCATGATATGCCTTTTTAAATGGAATATTGTTTAAATTAAAGCTTGCTTGGATGGCACATGGCTGTCCATCACAGCATCTCACTTGTAATTTGTCTCAAAGCAAGCTTTTTATGCTGTAAAATTAGATAAAAAAACATGCTATTAAGGATCTAAGCATTACGTTACAGTCAAATATTTGTACTAAAAGAAAAGCCTTTTTAACAAGCCCACAACGCATGCTTGAATTCACTTGCATGCCTGTCTTTGACCCTCTCTCTCTCTCTCTGTTTCACCTGCTACTGAATGCTGAATCCTGAAATAAACATCAAGCGCTCAACTTGGCTTCATTTCTATTCTCAACAGCACAGTAAAGATGAAACGCGCTAAATTAAAAAATAGATGTAGGATACAATACAAGTATATTCTTTGAGCATCAGTGGTGTCTGGGACATCCCTAAGATGTTTTTTTTCTCATTTAGATAGAATATTGTACGAGCAATAATAATAATAATAATAGTATACTTTTATATAATAATATTAATAATAGAAAACATACTTATCTATATAAACTATTTTATGATTGTTTCTAAGAACATTTTAAAGTTATCCGTTCTGCTTTAGGCTACGTCAGTTGGGGAAATATTTTACGAGAAAATTATATATACATAATGCGTGCGTGCGTGTGTGTGTGTGTGCAGTTAAACACACTTTGAAGTTTATTGTGTAAGGGGTTCATTAAACAAAAATGGGTTTCCAAAATTATACTTTAAATTCTCTTATAGATAAATTCAAGAAAATGCATAATACAAAGAAAAGTAGCAAACAGATATATCGCATAATATTTTCTAGACTTTATCTTGAATAATTCTCGAATTGTTGTTTAACAAACGCATATCAGATAATGGAATTAAGCGTGAGAATCTAACAGACGGAATCCGACAGCAGTCTTACCTTTCACACCATTCGTTTCAATGAAATCCGCTTGATCTAAATGTGATCCAAATTCGCGCGTCTTGTGATGGTCAGACTTCACTCGGATCTTGTCGTAGCGTGCTCTCCGTGTGCGTCTTTCGTCTGTCTTTACTCGCCCGTTCCTTCAGCTCTTCAGCTCTGCACCTCATTTCATCCTTTAGTCTTGAGTCTGGGGGGAAACGTTCATGCGACCAACTGCAGCCACAGGACAGACGACGAATGATCTCACGACAACCAAGAGCCCTTCTCAAATACTTGATCCTGCCTACATGTAGGCTGTTCAGCGCGGGGAAGAAAAGCCATTATCAGTACATGCAACTGTAATGAACAATCATAACGCCTACACTAAAGTGATGGATGATTAAATCGACTGTTATGACACTGCCTAATTATATTTTACCAAGCAAAATTAATTGAATGAGTCAGTGTGCACAACTATTCAGTTAATTTCTACATTTTAAAATAATTTTTGTCAGTATTATCAAACTCCTTTTAAGGCATATTATATAAGGTAGTCTACAGTCTTTGGTATTAGCCTATCTGAGGCGTCGCGTCAACTTCGCAACTATCTCAAGAATTATCTTAAGAACTTTTTAAACAAAACTTTTTTTGTGTGTGATATGTATGTAAATTTTTAGCATATATTTTGTCGATATAGTCCGATACGCATCGAAAGCTTACTGTAGCTATGGTTACCAGTCCAGCGAACGCGATTTCGCGAGTTTCAAACTAAGCTAAGCTTGTGTAATTTCTGAAACGCTGTTGAATCATAGCTTATTGCACACTGGGTTCAGCTATCAGTTTCAATGTAAAAGCCTCGATATCTCAAAACAATGCGCTTCCATTCTCTTTTAAAGTACCTGTATTTTATATTGATCATCGTATTGTATTTCTTTGTGTTCTTTTCTCTCCTAGCACAGTGAGAAGAACTTCCAAACACCTTTCGGAAGAACTTTTTATCCTTTCAGTAACACCTGCACCTTCTTATATCAGTTCAAGCTGAGCAGAGAACAAAGCTATCTGTATTTACACAAGACTTGTTGAAAGGAGGAGATGTGAAAGATATGTGAGATTGTGCGTGAGATGTTTGTTACTGCGTGCAAGTTGCTGATTGGACAGAATCCAGAGTGCAGTAGTGTCAACACTTCTATAGTGTAGAAATCTACAAAAATGCCCTCTTATCATCATGGAGTACTAAACTGGTGTTCTTTTGCCCAAGGTTCTCCAAAGTTATAAAAGCTTAAAATGTGTGTAACCACATTCTTGAAATCCACATTCTGCTTGATTATGGGGATGAAAGAATATTTGACTATTATTATTCATTATTTGATTGCCATGGGCCATCTCACTGGCAGCACTTCCCATGAGACCACAGATTTGCAGTCTGAATGAACTGCTTCATTTGCATGACTCATCTAAGTAAATATATTACAGAGATGATCAAGCGTTCATTAAACCCCACCATACGATCCTCCACCATGCTTCTGAAGGTTATAAGAGTATGCAAATGTCCTATATGTTTATGTTCACATTGTTGACTTCAGTGCAAACAAACGTGATTGGAAAATATAAATTTACAACCAATAACAATATGCAAATATGTTTGAAATGTGCATGAAGTGTGTTAAACTACTCTGAATCTCTCCTAAGGACAAGTCTTGTACTCTTGCTTATTGCTGAGCATTATATTTTTGTTTGCGTTTGTATTTTTGATTGCACTTTCTGGTAATTATAATAATTGCCCTCGGCTAAGAAGGAGCGCGTGTAATTTAATTGCTCCCTTCCTGCGTTTAAGTGCGAACTGTAGTTTCGATTTGAGGAATTGCCCTGCTATAGACTATTGGCTGTGCTAATTAGAAGGCGGCCACAGCTGTTTTCACTTTAGTGTCTTAGACTGTGTATTTATCTGATGTCTGTGCGCTGACGCGGAAGCATCAGCGGAAGCATTCAGGCCTCCTTGTGTGAAGACCAACGAGTGTAAAGACCTGCGACTTTACCTGCGTGACTTCACCGAACAACGAAATCGCCAAGGCACTTAAGTATATTTTTGCTCTTTCCTGTACACACTCTCCTTTTCTGTCCTCTCTTTTCCACCTCGATCATGTGTTTCCAAACCATTCCGGTTGTCTCTCGACAGCGCTCTAAGGTCACACGCAGACGGCAACGCAATGTTGCTAACCTGAATGTAAATGTAAATGTAAGTACAGGAAAGTGTACAACACTTTATCACAAACCCATCCTTCAAAAGAAAGAGGACATTTAGATTTTGAAGAGAATCTTATAAACTTTCAAAAACTTCTTCACAGAATAAATGGCTCATTGAAAGCAGCCCAGCTTGCAGCGTATACAGCATTTATCAACTTCAATGTACAGTCAGCGCGGAACTGGAGCAGTGACACCTGGATGCGAGATGCAGTGGCTGTAAGCTCTTTAACTCTGAATGGCTTATTCCCAAATGACAAGGCCAAGCGTAATGAGGCATTGTGGGCTAATCAGTGGGTTCATTCAGAAGGCTCCAAAGGAACCTTATATTACACAGCGACTTCTAATTAACCGTGGGATACGGCAAAAGATGATGGCGTGGAGGAGTCTGCGAGACCCTGGGGATACAGGAAAAAGCAGTTCACGTAGACAAGCAGATGCACGCTTGCACATAAAGGCAGTTTTCACACACACACACACACACACACACACACATTCATGTCTGGTCAGCTATCCTTGTGGGGACTCTCCATAGGCGTAATGGTTTTTCTACTGCACAGACCCTATATTCGATTGCCCTACACCAACCCTACCCCTAAACCTACCCCTCACAGGAAACTTTCTGCATTTTTAGATTTTCAAAAAACTTCATTCTGTATGATTTATAAGCGTTTGTACCTGTGGGGACCACAATTTAGGTCCCCACCGTGACACGAGTCCCCATGAGTCTGTGTGTAGTCAGGTTTAAGTCCCCACCAGGATATATAAACCAGTACACACACACACCATGTTTGGATGGATTGAATTGTAGAGATGCACATGGTAACAAAATGGACACACCTCTCAAAGATGATCAAAGGTCTTTAGGAATAAAGAACACAAATATTCTCAGAGGCTTCACAGGGGTCACGGCCGTGGCATGGACTATTCCAGTGCATATCGATCTTTGAAATTCCACTAGCTGTTTGTATCCATAAAGTGAATATGCCTGTCTCAGTGTTTATTTAATATGGCATCCCTTAGCAAACTGGGAAGGACATGAAATATGGCTCAAGTTTGCATATTCATATAAATCTGGCAGATTTCCAGACTCTTTTGAATAGTATGAAGGGGCTGATGAGCCATGCCCTTAAGTGGCAATTGTTATTTGCCCAGTCCTCTCAACTCGCCCGTGAGGAGGTTACACAAAAGATTCATCATTAACATAAAAGGTTAATATTTTCCACAGACCGTCTGTGAATGTAATCAGTGCACATAACTGCACTGTTGAACAGTGATATCTTGCATAAATGAGCTGGGCCATGTTCTATGCTCATAAAAGCGCAAGGGGTATGTGGCCTGTATAAGAGTAGCGGCAATGTATGCAAGTTAAAATGTAGAAATGTATACAATTATATATAATGCAATTTAAGTCACTTTGGATAAAAGTGTTTGTCAAATGCATAAATGTAAGTATGTATGAATGAATGCATGTATGAATTTTTTTTTTCTGTTTTTGTTCAATCATTTTTTCCACTGATGCTATAAATGTGTGTGTGTGTGTGTGTGTGTGTGTGTGTGTGTGTATGCATATACATACATGCTTTAAAAAAGAACCAAAATATTCAATTTTTTCTTTAAGTTTTTCATTTTATATATACTGTATATATACTGGAAACATGTTGGTCAGAGCTTTGAAATGGGACTGAGGGATTATCAAGTAAGGAGCGGTTGGCATCTGATAAGATTCATCAGCTTTCACTGAACTGTGTGGCCTATTGAACTAAGAAAGCATTTAGACTCCCTTACCCTCCCACTTCTGGGTATCATCAGCAGAGCATTGCTTTAGGACATTAAACCTTTGCATGGTCACTTACATAGACAAAATGTGGCTGTTCTGAAGCACTTGATTCACAGCTTCATTTCTGCAGTTTAACAATGCACATGTTGCACTTCTGTTCTGTCACATAGTTTGTAGTCACCCATTAAATTAATTTGCAATAATCATGATTTATTTGTTCTGTTCTAATCACATCTTGTAAATCTTTCAGCTCTTATCCTGACAGATTTGATTAACGAATAAAATTATATACTTAACAACTCAGTATTACTTATTAAACCCAGGTAACCGCCTCAGCAAGGGATGGTTGACTTAAGACAGAGGTTAAATGTCAGTTTGTTTGCTCTTACCTCATTTAGTGTGCAGGGAATTACCCAAGATCCTCTTTTCAACACTCACAACTCACTTTGTCTACTCCTACAGCCAGAGCAAATTTAAGCTTTGCTTGAAGGGAAAGGGAGGAAAAATTAATGTGGTTGCATTGTGTTTCATTCAGACAACAGGTAAGATTAATATACTAAAACAGAAGAGCACTTTAAAAGATCGTGGAAAGGCGCATTGCCTCAGTAGGAAGCATGTAGACAGGAAATGGAAAAACGTGGAACATTTATAACGCGGCGTTAACAAAGATTACACAGTTGGTCGGTTGTTTTAAAGTAATGTCGTCTTGACATTGTTCTGGCTGCTGACGATCAATATTTTAACTTTTAATACAACGGCATTAAAGTGAAGTGAACGTCATATCAGACGAGGCAAAGAGTAAAACTGCCCTCTAGCGATACGATAAAGAACTGGACAATCAATTATGGGTCTACTGTTACTCCTAAACGACTGTGAAAAAAAAAGACATTAACATCTAACAGTAACAGTAAACGGTACATTTACCTCAATGTTTGGAGCTCGAAAATGAATAAAAATACGCAAAGTCTCGTTAACCAACAGGTGGCACTAGTAAACCTAAATTCAGGATGTCAACAGCATTACGTTATCTCTGTACACAAAACGCATGTGGGAAGATACAGTTATTGTCTCTGGTTATGAATACATGTGGTATACAGTTTAGCAATACAAAAGTCTGAGGCCGCACTGAAAATCTGGCATTCAAATTTTAATTGGAAGTAGCCTATAAAGAATATTTTAGGTTTTATCACTAACCTGTGGAGTCCATGCCCGCTTGAAAATGTTACAATGAAATAATTAGTAATAGAATTTAATAGAGAGAGAGATTACGGATATGAATTATGTGGGTTTTAAGAATTGTGTGGTTTAAAGACACAGAAGACGGTTTTTAAATGAAATCAAGGCGTTTAATAAAACATTTATGAAAACACACTAATCATGATTTAAAGCTGCACAAAGAAATACTATGGTACCATGAGTTTACTCCTTGGGATAGTTTGCCCAAAACTTCTGTTGTGTTCAACAGAAGAAACGAACCCATCCAGGTTTGGAACAACTTGAGGTTGAGTAAATGTTGACAGAATTTTCATTTTTTGGCGGTGAACTATCCCTTTAAACAGACACATGTGCATTGCACTCAGCTGCACTGAACTCCAGTTTTGGATGAAAATCTCCTTTTTATTCTTTTTCAGAACAGAAGATAGAAGAACTGTAGGATTATTAGATTAGCTCAGACTTCCGGCAGTGAGAAAGATGTGGCACATATCTGGCCCAGTATTTAACAGACTACCTTGATGCTGATTGTCATTATCACCCCCAAAATCTTCAGCTATACTGTCTTTAAACGAGGACTTTACCATTATTGTTACGTGACCATCTGTGAAAATTAGCAGCACAATACATGTCATTAAGGCAGAAGTTTCAAGCTTACTTCCATTAAAAACAAAAGATCATGATGCGACTGTTTGTCATTCTCATTGATACAAATGAGTATCGATGCACAATAAGCAACCAGCAAAAAAAAAAAAAAAGAAAGAAAAAAAATTCCACAGAGGAATATGTGGAAGATGAGCGCATTATAGACATGTCTTGTCATGACATGTCTTACACAGATGCCTGCTTTGTACAATACACATGCATATAGGAGTTTGCATATACAGCACTACTGTATATTTCCAATTTGTCTAATAAATCCTTAGATAGAATTACAAATGTATTTCTTAAACTAGTTACATAATTTGGTGAGTGAATTCATAGACTGTTGTCTTATCGACTGATTTACTCTATAAAGACACTACATGACTATTCTACATTTTTCATGGCAGTAAGTTTTAAAGTTAAGAGTAAGGCCTGAAAAATACTCTACGCAAGTACATGAAAGCAGACTCGTATAGACACACAACTCAGTTTTGAGCATAGTTGTGTTCCGAAATGTCTCTGACCGTGACCACAATTCATAATTTGCGTTTTTTTAGGCCACTTTTCTCTTTCATATCAACCTCTGTTAAAGTGGACCAAGAGTTTAAAGGTTTGAAGATAATCACTAAGCTGGTTAGTTAAAGTCAATAGCAACTTACCTGAATAAAAACACATCCGGAATAATAATGCACATTATTAAATTGTCTGCGTTCTCAAACTTGTGTAAAGCACACAACATTTCTGCCGTAACTCTTTTATAAAATGATATTTTCAATGTTGTCATATAATATTAGCATTATACAGGTAACTACTGGCCTTTTTGATGGCATTTAGACAAAAGACAGAAACTTTAAACTACTTTCACAAGATACTTTTAAAACAAGGCATGAGTTACAGTACAACAGCATCTTTCAGATGTGCGTAGCGTTTTAAACATTCACTCTCAAGTTTCACTTAAAGTCTGTAAGTGCTGTTGTTGGCTGTCCCCTGCATTTGGATGGATGTCAATATATATTATTTTACTAAGTCCCGGCAAGCATGACAGGGATTATAAAATAGTTATTTAAAACTAACCACACAATGTGATGCCATTAATTAACCAAAGTAAAAAAATACCTGATACAGTGTTGTATTCCTTTACTCTCTAAATCTCACAGCCTAAACTCTAAATGATGAAACAGTCGTAAAAGAGCCCTGAATTGTGCACTCACCTGAATGGCACACATATATTAGTTTGGCACTGGTTCTGCAAACCTACCAAGAGTGTTTTAAATGCTTCGGTTCAGTTAAAAATGATATTTGGCAGCTGCTTTTCCCATAAGCTGTCCAGTTACAGTCTTAACTGACATGGACCCGTAACAGTCAATGAGGAGCCAATGGGAGGCATGGATTTCAAAGCATGGATTAGTGTCATGCTCTTTAAGCTAATGGTTTGAATCAAAATGATGAACGGAATCAAGAGTTCACTTCTCTGAACATTCCATTGAACAGAACATTGACCCACTGAAGAAAGTCCAGCAAAGAGAAAGAGATAGAGAAGAACAGAAACACTAAAGAGCTGTTGTGAGCTCATCTTCAGTATTCTGCTTTCTCCATAACCTCCATGAACACTGTTCTGGGGCCAGTGAGGATGAGGTTGCTGACAGTCCTGTAGTCCAGATTCTGCACATTCATTCCATTAACCGCCATCACAAACTGACACACCTGTAGAGATGAGAATGAGTAAACTGTAATGAGGCAAAACAACAAAACTTTTGTTTGGTTACACTTGATACACCCTTTTTGTACTTTGATAAAGACATAAAAGTGCTGAAAAACAACATAATGAATATAGAGCATATAAACCACATATATGACACAATAAACGGATCATAATCTTTCTCAGAACAGCAACATGACACAATTGCACCTTTCAGGAGAACAGTAAAGGAGTGCTTTTTAAAATCAGCTATATTAATTCTCGGAGAGGTTCTGCAAATGAATAATGTAATAGCCTTTATGTCCTTCCTGGTAAACCCATAATGGCACTACCATCAGAAAGGAGTCATACCATTACCGTTATGAGCATCAAGTGATAAATAAGCAACATTTGAAAGCTTGCCATTTTGCTTAATTGTCAGCATGTGTTCAAAACATCTGTTTTGGCATAATTTGTTCACTGGTGCATGTGTACAACTCAGCAGTTGTAATCTTTGTGCTAAGAGGTACACCCTAAAAACAAATGCTTGGCTCAGTTTACATCCGTCTTTTTGAGTTATGACAGCTTCTAATGAAATTATGTTCAACCAACAGGAACTTAATCACTTGTAGCATAAACACCATTTTTTAAGCCATTTGTAGCATAAACACCCTTTTTAATCTTAAAAATGAAATAGTTCCAACTAGTTTTAATATAATTCACTCATAAATGGAGTGGTGCCCTGGAACCAACTGATCTTATTTTTATCACTTCAAAATAACAGCTAGTATAGCACATCCTAAATGTAGCTAATTTTGCATGTAAATTTATTGAACAATTAAGATATTACTTGTCAGTGGCATTAAGTGTTTGTTCATAGAGCAACATACAGTGTAGTCTATACCTTTATGTAACCTAACCACAAGCTGTACTCTTCAGCACAATGGTAACCACAAAAACTTAAAAGAACAGAACCTATTTAAACATAACAGAATTAAATACTAACAGGTCTTTCCCTTTTCTAAAATCAAATAAAATAACACTTTATTTCAACATTTATTCTACTTTATTATATATAATAAATAATAAATCTAAATGCAACAATGTTCATTACAACAAAAAGATGGCACTGAGAGCAGGGCAGGTGCAGCATTACAGCCTCTGTCTTTAAATAGCACAACGCTTTTAGCTCAGAAACAGACTAAGCACATTCTCAGTCTGCAAACATGACCATATGTAATGAGCATTCAGAAGTGACGCTGAGGGAGTAGTTTTTTTGTTTTGTTTTTTTAAGTTGCATAACCATAATGGTTCATTATGGGTGTAAATTAGGGTCACTGTTTAAATGGCAAGTATTATTCCATCTGTCACTACTGTAAATTAGACACACACACATCCAGTATGCATGAAGAAACATCTGGAAAACAGGCTATATTTTGAGTGTTCTTGAGGTGAATGTACTCACATCAGCAACCAAAGGACATTATGATTGCTCCACTCCGTATGATTGCTTATGATTGCTTTACTCCGTGTACTGTGCTTAAGGTCAAACCTAAATGACTGTGGGTAGGTTAGTGTAGTTGAGTATTTTGTAATCTCTATCATCTCTATCTCTTAGATCATAATCTAGCATTAATTTAAAGGAATAGCAATGTAATATGGCAAAACTAAACCCTATACGAGCACTATTTCATAAAAAGCACTTTCCCTCAAAGGTGCGGTCACAGTGAAATTTTGGTGAAAAAAAATCCATTGTTTATTGTCAATAGTGTAGCGATTTATGATGCACAGCTCACACAGAAGTCACCTTCAAAACCAAGAAGCTTTCTGTTGGCCAGCATGGTAAATTTGCATGACCTACTTGACCCGGTGCAAAATCAGTGTAAAATGAAATATGAAATATGAAATTCACAATCACGTGGCTTTCTATAGAAATGACTGGATTTCGCCCATGAAAATTTGCCAAAAACATTATTAATTATTAAACATTAGTAATCCACAACCTCAAGCAAATGGTCCTGGAGCTCAAGCTTTCAGTCGCATGATGACATATGCGCGGTATAATATAAACCGACTAAACCCAATATATTGTCAGGAGCTGCAGGTGTTAATTTTGCGTTATAATGTACCTGCAGAGCTGGGTAGTATCTGATTACATGTAATCTGGATTACGTAATCAGATTCCAAAAATTAAGTACTTGTAATTAGATTAAATTACATTTTTAAAAACTCGTAATCAGACTACAGTTACTTTTTTATTGATTACATGACATAATTTATTGATTCTCCATCATTCTTCTTTTTCATCTTTTAAATGTTCCTTTCTTAATTAGACTATATAAAATAGCTTATATACATTCAGAAAGTTTTCCAGTTTTGTGGACATTCACACAAAGACCAGTCACTAGTCAGTTAGCTATACTGTACAGCATTTGACCACTGGATTTGCAAAAATCATTTCAGGTTTAAGAAGTGTTTCAACATTGCATTAACTACTGATGAACACATTCATTTTTTATTTGAATTATCACTCAGTAGGTTATTTAACCATGTATTACTATTGTCTTTGGAAGGCTTTTGTCTTTTAAAATGCACAAATTCACATTATTTCTTATTTACATGTAATGCAGGCATTCACAAACATTTTTGTCATCTGAATCTCTTTCACCAAATATATTTACTTGAAGTACCCCTGACATTTTAAAATAAAGCAATAAGCCCCAAGAACCTGTGGTTTCTCCTCTTCGCATCGTGCCTAACAACGCCCCTTAGCTGTTATAAATTCACTGTAAACCACGGCTTCACGGGGCTTATTGCTATTATAAAACGGTTATTCCATATACGTAGTAAGGTTTCACAAAATAAAATAGAGCAAATAAAATGTAATGATATTAATAAAAACATTATTCTTCAGCCAAACAATGTAGTTCCTCAGAAACGGTTGTGGTTCCAACAAAGTGGTTGCCGAGCAACACACAAATGTAAACAAAGGTGTATGTTTGTAGTTAATTTACAACAGCTTCGAACTTGGCTCAACCAATCAGAATCAAGGACCGGAACTATCCATTTTATAATAAATATTTTAATAATTAAGTATCACATCTGCATGTTCACGGTTCTCTAACATTGGTTAATGGTCACATGACACGCAGGTAAACAGATCAAATATTTCATTTTTTAGTAAGTGTTTTATTTAGATTTGTTATTTTAAAATTATTTATTTTAATGTTAAATTTTTATGATTTAATTCATTTTTAGCTTTTCATTAAACTCACGAACCCCCTCCAGTTCTTTTACGAACCCCAGTCTGGGAAACCTTGACGTAATGTAATGTTTAATGCACTTCATGTTGTTAATTACAATGAATGGAATATATTTTCTTACTCTTTGTATTTTTATATACATATGGTACAACATGATTCTATTTAAATCAATGTGATAAATGAGTTTGGTCAAAAGTGTATCGTCATGTATGTCATGTAATTTGGAATCAGTAATGGACTACATTTAGTAAGTAATCTACCCAGCTCTGTATAACTGTACCTATTTTCTCGACTCTCAAAGTGGCGGCACCCACTGACTTGCATATTACAAATGACCAAGGATCATGGGTTCAGCTAAAAATCATCTTTTGTGTTTTACTGAAGAAAGTTGCCTACATCTTGAATGGCCTAATGGTGAGTAAATTAACAGCAAATTTTCATTTTTGTATGAACTATCCCTTAAAGAGCCATCGGAGTGGGTTGTGTCCATTTATCGGTTATTGGCCATAACTTGAAAATAACTATTGGCTTATTAGTTTGCATCCCTGTAAAATGGGACAAAATAGAATAAAATACGGACATAATGTTTTCTCACTACAATAAATTTCCTTTTGCAGGATGACTACTGTACCTTCATTCCCACTGCTGCAGCGGGTCCGCCAGGGTCCACTGCCTGGATGTAGCAGGGTTTACTTCCTCTCACCACGAATCCCCAGCCCACTGCGTCTCCCACAATCTGCAAACACATGCATCCAAGCACATTAACTTAAGATTGTGTATATATATTTGGTCATTAAAAAAATTCAATTCAGATGTCAGTACTGCAGTGGTGGAGCAATATGGTTTAAAAATGGTTGTCAGAGCATATTGTTATATATTGTTGTGCATATTGCATTCAGCACTGATTTTAAACGGCACTATCAGTGGATACAATTTATTCATAATACATAGACAAGACACAGTTAGGTACATGACAGCTGAATTTCAAAGGCTCCTAAATTGCAGTTGGATTTTCCTGTTGATCAAGTCGAGGGTTAGAATCACCGCCACATGCATCTGAGGAAAAACTTCCTCTCGCTATTTTTAGTTCTGAACTTTCTCAGAACCAAACATAGTAAATTATGCAATTAGAGCTTGGAGCCTGAGCACATTTGGCAGGAGTGTGTGTGTGTGTGTGAGTGACTTACTGTGAATGTCTTCTTTATGTAAGGTCCACCGGGAGCCTGAAGTTCCTCTGGGCTCACTTGTCTCTTCAGCACTGTAAATAATATACACACAATGTTCCTCTATGAATGAACTCTAGGCCCATTTTCATGACAGTAAAACATCATGTGACTATTTAACACATGGTATAAAAGAATCAGGTTTCTCTATTCACTGCAACAACACTGAGTTTGATTCACTATTAAGTCATTACTTTACTCCTTGCATTATGTAATACTGCAGTCCATAATCCCTCATTTAAAAAGTCGACATCAAAACATCCTGAAAAAAAAAGTACTTCTTCAGAGACACAGTAAGAAAGACAGTAATTAAGATGTAATGAAGGTTTGTGTTTAATGAAGTAATGAGGTTGTGGCATCACTGTGATGGTCTAATTTAGCACAAGAGGTTCTAATCAGCCTGGTCTCTTCATCAGTAATGTAATAAGTGAGCCAACACTGAACCACTAGGTCACAATCTAGGATCCAACTCCACAGCTACTGACAAATACTGACTACTACAATTTATAGAGTAGTAACAAGGACATTGCAAATATCAAAAAAGGTAGAGTCTACAAGGAATATTAATTCAATGAATATAGAAACAGTTATTTTCAATTATAATAATATTTTACAATATTACTGTATTTTTTATCAAATAATTTCTTATTTATTGGCTTATTTCTAAAATATTGCCTTGCAACACTCAGTAAACAAGTTAGTATCAATCGCAAGATGAAACTTGTATGTTGATCTCTGATCGTATGTACATGGACAATTTTAAATTTTATAAAAGAAAAAAATATATTTTGTTTTTGTTAAAAACCAAATAAAATAATCAGTATTAATCATCTAAATTTAGAAAGCAGAATGAATATTGAAACTGTAATAATATAAAAAATAAAGAAAATATGGTTAAAATATTTAATTCAAGTTGACTTTGATACAGACTACGTATTTAGTGTGTATTTGTCAAGTTTGGGTCTTGACAGATAAGATCACTATTAACGGCAAAAAATGAAAAGCATGCAAGCTAAGAATGATATTAGGGTGAGTAAACAAGGACAGATGTTTGTTTTAGGGTGAATTATCCTTTTAAAGAACATTCACTGTATGTGTGCATATAGGGAACACAAGGCCATGTATTTTCTTAACTACGATGCCCTTTCCATTTCCCTTTCAAAGTCACTCTGTACATGCCTGAAACATTTCACACACAATGCCACATCCTTTATAATGCAGGGAGAAAGGATTATGTGTGTGTGTGTGTGTGTGAGAGAGAGAGAGAGAGAGAGAGAGAGAGAATATTTATAATAACATGCCAACAAAAAGTGTGTAAGTATCGGGCCTCGATGTGTTTCTCTCATTCTCTCTTATTCACTTTTTAATTTTTTTCTTATCCATTTTGGGAGGTGAGCTCAATAATCCCAGGATTGGATGAGAAAATTGACCAATCAGAGGCAGGCAACAGCCCTGCCAAACCCAGAACATGGAAAAGCAGCCTATTTTCTTCACAAATTCAAAATGTACAACATGTTATAATGCTGAATGCTCTGATGACAGATTGCATTTTGGATCTACGTTATTGTTGGACAAAAAACAGGTCTGGTTTCAACAGTGGGCCTCACTGTACTGGGGCAGTGCAGAGCGGGAGCTGTGCTGTGGTAAAGTGAAGGCTGAGTCATGTGCTAGGTGTGGAATGCTTCATTGCAGGCATGCTTTAGGCTCGCCTTGGATCGCCATGGAGGCCAATGTTCTAATTTGGTGGTGCAAGAGGAGGAGGAGGAGGAGGAGGACCCTGAGTTTTTGTGTATAAAATGTTCTTCTGTCTCTCTGCCTAATGGCTGTGCTCCTCGCCTTTCCTGAATGGGAACAATGTGTTCTTGCCAGGCTCTCTCATACACATACACACATAAACACACTCAGCTTGAGAGTTTTTATGGGTCAGAGAGTTTACTACTCCACACACAAACACTCACTCAAATTGGGAGTCAGAGATGGATAAAACAGATTGAGATATAGTTAAATAAGGGTAAAGAGAACATGTATTTTACAATCAGTTCCAATTATTTTTTCTCAGATTTATTTGTTATTAGTCACTGGGCAGTGATAGACAACATCATCGTGTAATCAAGATAACACCTTCACTCACCCTGAGAGGAGCTTCAATATAATGTGAGATCAAGGGATTGCTCACCCAAAACTGAAAGTTTGTCATTATTTACTCATTCTAAAGCTGTAAGACTTTTTTTCTCGATGAGCACAAAATGAGAAATTTTATTTAATAAATATTATATATAGAAGCCTACTGAAGTCATACAATCGACACACTTATGTTTTGTGTCAAATGGCATTGTCGTACCGGTACCATAATTGAACCCCATACCACTTTGATAGTACATTTTGGAGATTTGGTGGAGGGAAACATTTTTTAAGGAGTTATTGATGACGGCTCTTTGAATTATTAGAAAATAATGCACAGCCCAGGTGGTGATGCGGCTACGACACGAAGCGTCAGATGTGTGTGTTATTTTCTAATTATTCAACGGACCAGAGTCAATTATTCCGCTTAAACTACGGGTGTGGTAAACTACTTACCACACCTAAAGACATTGTTAAGATGATGTATTTCAAGACATTCGTCAGGTTTTTGTTCTTAAAACGCTCTTGCGTGTAGAACTAATGTCTTAAGCATCTCATCCCACGCTTCCAAAACGTAACTTTAATGCAACTTTGCTAATTCCAAAACGGAATTTTAGACTTAGTAATGGAGGCTTGAGCCGTTGATAGCAGACTAATGCAGTTAATAATTAAGTTATTATAGAGAGAGAGAAAGAATTACACGTGTGTGAATTACCTCTCAGTTTGTGCATCTCAACAGTGTTCGGCAGCAGCGTCTCTACTATTAGCAAAACTGTAAGTTCATCTGTTTCAAGAACAGCACTGTATTACCTTGCTAGTGAGAAATGTTCTGTAGCTTTTAAGTTCATATTTATTTTATTGATAAAATGTTCAGAGCAGCACTAACTAGGGATGTTCATTAACCGACCGTAAGAATTTTGACCTATTAATACAATCAGTTAAACGGTTTAAAAAGTCATTGAATTATTTATTTTTTTCAGTAATTTATCAAAATATTTAAAAAGGTTTGCTGCATGGTTAAAATACGCTACGCG